GGGTTCTAGGGAGTCACAGTGAACAATAGACCAGGGTTCTAGGGAGTCACAGTGAACAATAAACCAGGGTTTTAGGGCGTCACAGTGAACAATAGACCAGGGTTCTAGGGAATCACAGTGAACTATTGACTGGGGTCCCGGGGATCACAGTGAACTATTGACTGGGGTCCTGGGGAATTACAGTGAACTATTGACTGTGGTCCTGGGGGGTGACAGTGAACAATTGACTGAGGGTCCCGGGGAATTACAGTGAACTATTGACTGTGGTCCTGGGGGGTGACAGTGACCAATTGACTGAGGGTCCCGGGGAATTACAGTGAACTATTGACTGTGGTCTTGGGGGGTGACAGTGAACAATTGACTGAGGGTCCCGGGGAATTACAGTGAACTATTGACTGGGGTCCTGGGGGGGGGTGACAGTGAACAATTGACTGAGGGTCCCGGGGAATTACAGTGAACTATTGACTGTGGTCCTGGGGGTGACAGTGAACAATTGACTGAGGGTCCCGGGGAATTACAGTGAACTATTGACTGTGGTCCTGGGGGGTGACAGTGAACAATTGACTGAGGGCCCCATCTTTAGAACAGTGGTCATGGCTGACACACTTTTGGAACAAGAATTCCCTGAAACTTAGCTGAATTGTTTTTTGTGATTAACTGTTCTAAATTCTGAAGAAAAAACATGTGTATCCAAACTATCTTTTGTAATCCACATTGGGTACAATACTACAGGGAGATAAGGAAAAGTTGCTGTTTCCATGGAAAGAAGTTTGGGTAACCCCAATTTTTATTTGATGCAACTTTTCACTGAGTAAAATGTCAAAAAATTGTCTATTTTAAAGATTCTTGATTTTAATGAGTTAGTCATGACTATCTTAAAATCATCAAACTGAAAAATTGAGTGCAATTTAATTTTAGGGGCAGCTTTCTAGTTTGTTTGATGTTTTGTGTGTTCACAAATGGGTTTTCTTTAGACATATTTCAATACATATTTGTGTTAACACATACATGTACCCTGCTGACACCATTCCCCATTCACTATCCATGGATGCTTTCAACAGTAGATGTGTTGATGTGGGTAACCAAGGCAGTTTTCTTGAATATGTGAGAAAGTCAAGTTTTAATGGTACACAACTACCAGCACGATACCCTGATGTTTTAACAGTTAAATGCATCCCTTGGTTCATACATATAAAATTCAGTAAACAGTAGATAGATTAACTCATATCCAATCAAAATACAATACCGGATTCTGCTTGTAATGCAGCTTTGTGTTAAATTTACTGATCTTATCGGGAATATTTTAAAATATTATATTTGATGTGACTTACCATATCTTTGTTGTTAACTCCAGCATCACCAGCAGCGTCCTGATTCGAAGCTATAAATATAAACATTGAGAATAAATTATAACTTATTCATGTAATCATTTTAATAAATGATGCAACCTGATCCTTGACACATTGTACTGACTTTATATTCAAACCTGGCCAGGGGAATTAATCAGTTCAGCAAAACTTAAAATGTATGTCATGTTCAAAAAAGAAATTTAACATATTAAAAATCAAAATTTCCTGTTCAGACATGCTGAATTTTGAATCTCGATATATAATCTTAAAAATGAGAAGAGTCAGTGGACAAAGTTTCCAGAGTTACATGTAATTTCAACTGTGTTGTGAATGAATTAAATTTCTTGTATACATTTTTTATTATATAATTTTATATATATTTCTTGTTTATTGTTAAATAAATTGTCTGCACTTTTTTAATCATCCCAGAATGTTTTTACACTCAGAAAATCTCGACACATTAATTTTCTAAAATTCTAATGATTTATTGAACATACTGTATTCCAAACTATGTCTGAATTGGTTGATAATGTCTTGCACATGCAAAAAAATAGTATTTAAAACTGAATAAACATACATATACATATTGTAAACAAATTTCATTTCGAAAGAGAAACTGCAAATTTTCTGACTTTCTGTAGCAGAAGAAATTTCGCTAGGGTCCAATAAGATGTGTCAGTAACTTTCAAAAATATTTAGAATCATGATTGTCACGATTTCATAATTTCTAGCAGTGAAAAAAGAGAGGTTTACAGTATATACATTTGCCTGTAAGTATTCAGTATCACTGTTACCACAGATAACAACACAGTAGTTTTTACCTTGTCTGGTTAATTGATTTTCTAATGCTGCTAATTGTACTCTTAACTCACTGTTCTGTGATGATAAGATATTTATGGTGTCCTGAATGGAATAAGAAATATTAAAATAATTAATGTCCTGCATTTTGGAAATACATGTATCATCCTGTAACAGAGCTATTGGTGAAGTGCTAAACATTCCACAGACACATAAAAGATCAAATTGTAATGTATATTGTAAATGGAATGTGCATGTGCTCCTCGCCTAATATATACATTCACTTGTAATGAGCAATATTGTTCTGTGTTTTTGGCTTCAAACATAGCTGCATTTTATTTTATGTATTCACTCAAATATATTTTCCAAGTTACATTCGAGAAAAGTAATCCACCACTCATTGCAAAAAAAATATAGTGACTATATATGTGCACTGCATGAGAACAGGAACAATATATAGGGTTAACTGTTTTATGCCCCACTGATCTCAAATCAAGCTTTTCTTTTCCAGATTTTAGCAGAATAAACAACCTTTCTGATAAGTGTGCCCTCTAAGTTAATTATACGTGACTGATGCACAGACATTTGTTGTGATGCAAACAGTTATTCTGGCACAACATCGACTTAATAAATATATCCAACATGCATTATTTTGAAAAATATTTGTAATACATAATATTTGCAATTTGGTAAATGAAAATTCTCGTATTACACTTAAAATATGTGTGAAAACAAAGGCCACACAATTTGTGTTTGAGACTTTAGGATTCATACAGCCACAGGATACAGTTATAATGAAACAGAAGTATGGACTGGAGTAATTCTGGAAAAGATTTCACTGATGGATATTGACCTACCTGAGCAGAAGCTAGCTCCCTTTGCAGAGTCTCAGTGAGTTGACCTTGTGCTTCGTAATGCCGCATGTGGTCTGTTAGCTGTGACTGTTGTGCAAGCTGTTTGTTGAGTTCAAAGTTTTGCGCTCTAGTTTCCTCCAATAATTTCTCATTTGAACGTAACTGAAAATGCAAAAACATGCAATAAATCATAAAGTAAAAGCTGTACCACAGCCACAGATAAATAAAACCAGAATGAAATCAACATTTGTGCTTTTTCTCCCATTCTCCCATTCTTGCTCAATTTTGTATAATATGGATATAATTAAAACATTAACTTCACGAAATAATTCACCATATTGATTTTGTTGTTGTGATTATATTTCCGATTTTGACAAGGCAAGGCAAGAAGAGTTTTATACCTTGCATGATTACCAGTATTTTTCTTTTTAATGTTTTTTCCGGACATTTAATGTCACTTCTGTCTCTCCTGATTACCAGTAACAAGTGGACTTGCCATTTTAAAGAAGAAGTTGAAAATGTAAAGTTGATGCCAACTGACAACGACGGACAATCAGTAATATAAATGACTCCACTCTGTTGACTACATGTAGGTGGACAGTTGAGATAAAAAACCATGGTTACAATAACGAAATAAAGACAAGAACTACACATGTACATGCAGAACAACTAACCTCATCTCTGACATCGTTTAGTTCATCTTCTTGTTGACTAAGTCTAGTTGCTAATTCTTTAGTGACATGTTGCTCAGAATCGAACTTATTTGTCATGTCCATATTATCATTACTCTGCAATCGAATCAACAAAGAATGTTAAATATCCATGACATTGTGATTATTTGATTATTATGTCACTGCCATATTGTTTGATCCACCAAACAGCAACATTGCCAGCAAATTCACAGATTGTTTTGTTATGCACATCTCAAGATTGATATCTGACTGAAGAGGGCTACGTCAAACCAATTATGAAGTTATCAACAAAATTGAACAAAATGAAAGTAGTCTTGCTCATTATGAATGAATGAATGAATATTCATAACCATTATTTAACAGGTCATGAATATTCAGGATCATCATTTTTTTATCAGATCATGGATAATCATAATCATGATTCAGCAGGTCATGGATAATCATAATCATTATTTATCAGGTCATGAATATTCATCATCAATATTCATGATCACTATTTAACAGCTCATGAATATTCATGATCATTATTTAACAGCTCATGAATATTCATGATCATTATTTAACAGCTCATGAATATTCAATATTCATGAGATCAAGATCATTCACTTCCACCACTTTGGTCAACAAGATTTCAACTTTTCACATATTCAACATCTCAAACTAAAGCAATACATTACGGAACAACAGTTAAAGCCAAGGATGGTGCATGCAAGTAAATTTTGTACTCACCAGTTTAACAAATCCATTTTGTAATTCAGCTAGTTGATATTTAAGTTCCTTATTTTGTGAAAGTGCTCTACTAATGGTAGCTTTGTCGTTTTGCATGCTTTCCAATAATTTCGACTTGTCACCAGCCTCCTCTTTCAATCTCACTACGGAATTCTCTAACTCTTCCAGTTTTTCTTCTTTTTCTTGATAAAGTTTTGCTAACTGTGCATTATCATTCATCTAAAAATTGAGAGATAATATTATCATCTTGTCAATGAGACACTACTGGATAACATGCACTTATACTGCTGATTGGTAATAAAACAAGAAAACACTGAGTTTAAAATCTAGTGAAATTTGTGAAAAAATGACAATTTAACACACCGAATCATACATCACCTGATGGAAACACAACATGTGGCAGACATAGATTTGCAACAACACTGCTTATCATAGAAGCAATTACTATTATAGATGTAGTACTAATCATTCCTGTCTAAAGTTGAGAAGATCTAATTACACAAATCACATTTAAGACAAACCTGTGCTTTATATTGTGTTAGTATATGCTGCTTCTCCTCTTCTAATTGGTCCAATTTATTGTTCATGTCCTCCCGGTATGCAGATAGAGACTTTTCTGTATCTGACGCTGAGGTATAAAACATATTATAAACCTGGTTACTTGAAGTTGAGTGCAGTAATGTTGTAGGTATGTTGTAGCATTGGGGATAGTATTGTGGTAAGTAAGTTGTAGACCAGTGTAGCATTGTGGTAAGCAAGCTGTAGACCAGTGTAGCATTGTGGTAAGCAAGCTGTAGACCAGTGTAGCATTGTGGTAAGCAAGCTGTAGACCAGTGTAGCATTGTGGTAAGCAAGTTGTAGACCAGTGTAGCATTGTGGTAAGCAAGTTGTAGACCAGTGTAGCATTGTGGTAAGCAAGTTGTAGACCAGTGTAGCATTGTGATAAGCAAGCTGTAGATAAGGGTAGCATTGTGGTAAGTAAGTTGTAGAACAGTGTAGCATTGTGGTAAGCAAGTTGTAGACCAGAGTAGCATTGGGGTAAGCAAGTTGTAGACCAGAGTAGCATTGGGGTAAGCAAGTTGTAGTCCAGTGTAGCATTGTGGTAAGCAAGTTGTAGACCAGTGTAGCATTGTGGTAAGCATGTTGTAGACCAGTGTAGCATTGTGGTAAGCAAGCTTGTAGACCAGTGTAGCATTGTGGTAAGCAAGTTGTAGACCAGTGTATCATTG